CTAAAAAAATATAATGAAGGAAAGGAAAATAATAAATAAAGGAAATATTTGTACAACATTCTTTTCACTCTCTTCTTGTTTCAGGCTCTTCCATATGTTTGCCTTCTCATTGCCATGCTTTTCTTCATTTATGCCATTATTGGCATGCAAGTAAGTTTTTCATATCATATATGGCAGTTATCAAAATTATGTAAACTTTTCCCATAAACGACATAATTTAATGGTATTGGCTGAATACTTCCCCAAACATCAGAATGTACTTGTATTTCGGCAGCTCAGTCTTTATTAATGATCAAATCTGTTTATTCATCTGTATTTGTGGGCTGGTGTGTGTTAAAGTCCTAACCCAATTTTGCAGTCTTTCTTTTTTTCCCCCAAATTTTATTAGGGCACACATTTAGATGATTATTTCCATTTTTGACAACGTGCCAGAAATTCCGAAGCATCAAAAACCTGCTAGTCTGGCTTTTTGAGTAGCGATATGAAATCATTTCTATAGTTCTATAGACAATATACTTGATTCTAATAATCTGTCTTATCTTATTATTTAGGTATTCGGTAATATTAAATTGAATGATGAGAGCCACATTAATCAACACACCAATTTCAAAACGTTCTTTGGTGCCTTGATGCTGCTCTTTAGGTAAGAGAAAAAATTACTGTTGTTTACTTTCTTTATTTTTAGTAGAATTAGACCAGCATTCTTTCTTTTGTTTATAGTTAATGGAATGTATAGTTTAATGAAATGTGCATTTAACCTCTAAATGAAAATGCTGTCATTTACTCATTCTTATGTTTCTGCAAGACTGGAGAGGTGTTTGAGTGCTCTAGTGTTTGGTGACTCATTCCTGGGTAGATATATTACTTTACGTCTTGCAGAAGTGCCACAGGAGAGTCGTGGCAGGAGATCATGCTCTCGTGTCTCGGGGGGAAGGAGTGTGAACTGGACCCTTCGATACCACCACCTTTCACCTCTCCAGATCACGAAGGGGGCTGTGGCACCCATTATTATGAATAAGAGTCTGATCTAAGCATGAATAAATAATAAAGGTTTCTAATCAGCAGTACTAACCTGCATGTTCCTTCGCTGCTTTCTTATCTCACTCTTCCAGCGGGCATGCATTGACTTTGTAATCAGTGCAAAACCCCTAACGAGATACATGCCTCAGAACAGACAGACCCTCCAGTACCGATTGTGGCACTTTGTGGTGTCGCCGTCATTCGAGTACACGGTTCTAGTCATGATTGCACTCAACACAGTAGTGCTCATGATGAAGGTATAACTTTCAACATACAATATTCCAGCTTGGAACACATTCTGTAGATTTGTAAAAAGTGAAGCTGTATATTCGGTCTTGGTTTTCAACGTCTTCATCTTTAGCTGAAAGAGCTTCAATGAGATATTTTGAGGTGCATACAGCATTTGTGATTTATAATCGTAATGCTTTTCAGTACCACTCGGCGCCAGCTGCCTACGACATCGTCCTGAAGCACCTCAACACTGCGTTCACTGTGCTCTTCTCTCTGGAATGCATCTTAAAGATTTTCGCCTTTGGGTTCATGGTGAGTTTAATGACATCGCATTGATGTTAAAAGGACAGTTCACACAAAAATGAAAAGTTGCTGTTCATTTCCTCACCTTTAGACTTTTTTTGTTTTCTTCAGTACAACAGTAAAGAAGATTTTTAGCTGAAACTGTGGCCTTTGGTGATTCACGAAATGCAAATCAATGGCTACCGTCACTTTGAGAGTCAAAAACCATATCTCACAAAACATATTTCACCAGGAGCCATGGGGATTCATTTTGTGTTGCCTGATATGGTTTTTTGACTCTCAAAGTGATGGTACACTCTAAAAAAAATGCTGGGTTAAATATAACCCAGCGCTGGGTGAAATATGGACAAACCCAGCAATTGGGTTGTTTTGACCCAGCGGTTGAGTGAAATGTTTAACCCAACCTTCTGGGAAGTAACCCAACCGCTGGGTCAAAAAAACCCAATTGCTGGATTTGTCCATATTTCACCCAGCGCTGGGTTATATTTAACCCAGCATTTTTTAGAGTGTAGCCATTGATTTGCATTTCGTGAATCACCAAGCACCACAGTTTCAGCTAAAAATCCGCTTTACTGTTCTACTGAAGAAAAAAAGTAACTTCCATCTTGGATGGCATGAGGGTGAGCAAATTAACAGCAAATTTTATTTTTTGAGTGAACTATCCCTTTAATGAGTATCATTCAAAGAAGAATGCATTTTTAATGCACCTGAATTGATTTACTTGCTTATCGTTTTCATTATTGTCACTCTGGTCTCATCTCACAGAACTACTTCCGTGATACATGGAACATCTTTGATTTCATCACTGTGCTGGGCAGTATTTCTGAAATTGTGGTAGATTTACAGGTAGGAATATTTCATATGTAGTGGTCTGAGTATATGAATCAGAAGTGTGTATCAGTGCTGGGGTTTCTGGGCCACTTGTATTGTTTGTTTCCTTTTTTTTAAACTTATTTTTCAGTAAATGCATATCTAAAAATCCTTCAAACAAGATAAATGTTTAAATTGTCTATCAAGTAATCTTTACTATGACAGTTTCTCGCCCCTCTCTTTTTATTCAGTCTGTGAACACCATCAATATGAGTTTCCTGAAGCTTTTCCGGGCAGCCAGACTCATTAAACTGTCCTATTTCTATTTTGTCTCATTCATCTTTTTCAGCTCATTTTTGGTGAGACTTTATCAGCGTCCTGTTCAGAATTCTGAAATGTACATTACATAAAGAGTAGCATTACTTTCTACTCAAGTTCAGTGCAAGAGGGCAAAGGGGGCAAAACAAATACAACCAGTTATATTTTGGGATGTCTGCTGTCAGCTGAAATTATAAGAAAGCAATTTGTCATACAAAGCCTGGTTGCAAACAATGCCAAGTTTAAAGCATAAGCTAGATTAATACACAAGCTAAACAGGACAAGATCATTTGTTTTAAGTAAATAAGAGATTATAGTAAGTGCCTTTGTTTATGCATTTGGTAGTTAAGTGTTTGCGGAGGTAGTTTCTCATGTGCATCTTTCAACTGCAGATGAGTCTTTGTTTACACAATAAAAAAACATCTTAGCTGACTCTCCCTGATACTTATTTACAGTTATGTCTTAAAGGGATAGTTCACCAAAAAATGAAAATCCTGTCATTAATTACTCACCCTCATGTCGTTCCAAACCCGTAAGGCCTTCGTTCATCTTCAAAACACAAATTAAGATATTTTTGATGAAATCCGAGAGCTTTCTGGCCCTGCATTGACAGCAATGCAATTATCACATTCAAGGCCCAGAAAAGTAGCTCGGACATCGTTAAAATAGTCCATGTGTCATCAGTGGTTCAACCGTAATTTTATGAAGCTATGAGAAAACTTGAAAACTGGGCCTTGAATGTGATAATTACATTGCTGTCTATGGAGGGTCAAAAAGCTCTCGGATTTCATCAAAAAAATCTTAATTTGTGTTCTGACGATGAACGAAGGTTTTACGGGTTTGGAACGACATGAGGGTGAGTATTTAATGACAGAATTATCATTTTTGAGTGGACTACCCCTCTAATATTACATTAATGAAATCTGTGCACTTGGTCTACATCCAGAATATTGCCACTTTATTTTTCCTAAGATGCTGAATCTCTTCGTGGCTGTGATTATGGACAACTTTGAGTATTTGACCCGAGACTCATCCATTCTCGGACCTCACCATCTGGATGAGTTTGTGCGAATCTGGGGAGAATATGACCGAGCTGCATGGTAAGTGCAACCTACTGGAATCCCAGATATAATATAGTTTCTAATGATTTTTACCGTTCTTACTGTCATACGCATAGAGGCACTTCACTAGAACCCGCTGCTCATTAACATCCACAATCATGTTTCTTTTTGATTTCGCTTGGTTTATTCATTTATACAGATGCAACTCTGTTCAGTAGTTCAACTCAAATGTATATGTTAGCAAATTTAACAGTAGTTGTGAATATGCAAAGATCCTGGGCCTTCACCCTTCAAGAAAAACTTTGGTTACACTTTATTTCGAAAATCATTAAGTAACTTTGCAACTACATGTCAACTAACTCTCATTAGAGTATTAGTAGACCATTAGGTTAGGGTTAGTGAAATAAGTTGACATGTATGTGTAAAGTTACCTGTAGGCAGAACAGTGTGTTTTGGGGAGCATCGAAATAAAGAGTTAGCAGATATTAAGCAGACAGTCTACTAATGACTGCTAGTGGACATGGAGTTGCAAATAGTTAGTAGAATGTCTAATATGGATTATTACAGTGTTACCAAAACTTTGGCCTGCAGAACCCGTGGAGGAGTGAGACTATTGTTATTTTTGGTAGATGTTCAGCTTTTTACAGTTTTTGTTATTGTGTCTTCTCATATGGTGTAAAATTTTTTGTGCTTGAATCAAATTGAATAGCTGTTTGAACCAAAAATGCACAGAACATTTGGATGCGTTGCTCACCGCGTCAGACACGGACGGATGTTTTCAGTTTTGTTGTGGTGAAATTGCTGAAATTTTGGAAATGGCCTTGGATTCCTGTGCGCTGCCAGAACAAAAACTGGCCTGGACTGGATTCAGGACTTACTGTGAGCTCTTCAATTAGGCCGTCCTCAAATGGCAATTAGTGCACATCAGTCTGTCGATACTTAGAAAGTCAAAAATTCTTCTAGGCTAATGGAAGCCGATCTTGCAGTTATCGTTGCATTCTCCAGGGCTGGAGTTGAGATGGAATGTAGTGTAGTGTTTAGAAGTCAGTGGATGACTGTGAGCCAATAGGTGTCCCTTGTAAGTAAAGCTGAAGGCCACATCCTTCTGTTTACAGGCTTTCAAGGGAAGGATGGTGTCATGTCAGATGAAAAGGAAGACAGGGTCTCGATTGTTCAAAGAAAGGTGGGTTTGTACGTGCCTACCCTAACATCCTTCTGTGTGGTGTTAGTATGTATCAAACAACGTGCATTCATTTTAGGGATGCAACTAATTATTATTATTATTTTTTTTAATAATCAATTATTCTGTTGAAAATGTATTTGCTTAATTTCACAAAAAAAAAAAATTTACTAGATTTTATTTGGCCTTAAGTGTTTTTCCAAATGCAAACTGAGGGCGATTAAAACTATAAATCCATGAATTTAAACTACTTTTACATTTAGTCATTTAGCAGACACTTTTATCCAAAGCGACTTACAAATGAGGACGATAAAAGCAATCGAACCAACAAAAGAGCAACTGTATGTAAGTGCTGTGACAAGTAGCGTAGTGTTTAGAAGTCAGTGGATGACTGTGAGCCAATAGGTGTCCCTTGTAAGTAAAGCTGAAGGCCACATCCTTCTGTTTACAGGCTTTCAAGGGAAGGATGGTGTCATGTCAGATGAAAAGGAAGACAGGGTCTCGATTGTTCAAAGAAAGGTGGGTTTGTACGTGCCTACCCTAACATCCTTCTGTGTGGTGTTAGTATGTATCAAACAACGTGCATTCATTTTAGGGATGCAACTAATTATTATTATTATTTTTTTTAATAATCAATTATTCTGTTGAAAATGTATTTGCTTAATTTCACAAAAAAAAAAAAAATTACTAGATTTTATTTGGCCTTAAGTGTTTTTCCAAATGCAAACTGAGGGCGATTAAAACTATAAATTCATGAATTTAAACTACTTTTACATTTAGTCATTTAGCAGACACTTTTATCCAAAGCGACTTACAAATGAGGACAATAAAAGCAATCGAACCAACAAAAGAGCAACTGTATGTAAGTGCTGTGACAAGTCTCGGTTAGCCAAACGCAGTAAATATAGCAAGGTTTTCTTTTTTCTTTAATACATAAAAAGGAAACAAGTAGAATTGAAAAAGAATAGAACGCTAGTGCTACAGAGTCGTTTGAATAAATAAAAAGAAAACAAGCAGATACAATATAAATAGAACAGTAGAAATAGACTAGGAGGAACATGCCACTGATGTCTATATGACAGGATTGCTAATAAAAATTTAAACTACAAAGCAGGAACTAACTAACTAAATATACAACATATACAACACTCTTCACTCTTAGTTCATTTGGGGACTCCATGCGTTCTCAGTTCGATATACTGTGTAAATGTAAACACCCCAAATGATACAAAGACCACTCTAAACCACAAACCATACTAATACTATATAGCAACATGCATGCATAAATCTGTATTGAGAATCTTTACTTCTTATTATATATACCTGATATTCGCTACTGAAGACTGAAGATACTGAAAAGTCTAAATAAACATGTGTAACTTAGTAAAATCAGATGATTTCCTATTAAGACAGTAGCATGTGTGGGAACACTTGTGTTTTGATATCATCAGCACTCCAGTTTTTTATTATAGATTAGTGGACACATATCCTTTAAATACAATAATGCTTTACTGTATTTTTAATTTTTTTTTAACAGAACTATTTATAGTCCTGTTACCATTATTGCTCTTGGAAAAAAAATAGAATTTCAATTAAGTAAACAATTTGAAATCTAAATTTAATGTCCAAATTGTGTTATTATTATTTTTTTTTTTTACTAAATTAATTTTTAAATTATTTCTATTGTGCTGTCTGGTTGACCTGCATGCATGTTTACACACATTCTTTCTTTTATTTTAAAATTATTTGAAATTTAACAAATCACTTGACCTATAAGTCACAAAACAAAGTTATAAAAATGTGTTTTTGCTACTCTTAAGTGCCATCAACAAAAGTTATGTGTGCACATTGCTAAAACTTGACAAATCAGTAATGAAAATGTTGACTGTTTAGAGATTAGTCATTGCAGCCCTAGTTAAAGTTGTCTACTAAAAAAAAAAAAAAAAAGTTAATTAAGAGACTTGAACTTCGTTGTAGGTTACTAGAATTCAGATGGTTTCAGTTTCTCTATGCTTACTAAGATGAAGGAATTAATTAATGCATGTTTAGAAGGCCTCAGTACCTACTGTTTTATCTGTTAACAAGGATGAAGTTAAAGTACTTTGAACTGTAATTTAATTTTCATTTATTTATTTTCAATTAATTTTTGTATTTATTAGTTTCCAGTACATGGTTGTTAGGGGTTTTGTGTGTGTGTGTGTGTGTGTGTGTGTGTGTGTGTGTAAATATCGTAATTACCGTTATTATAAAATATCAACTTGTAAAAAGCATTCACGTCCTCGTAGAACTCGTAATTAGAACTTGTGAAATGGGAGTTTTCTGAGAGCTACGACTTGTACCACCTGACCACCTCAGATTCATCAGGCGCTATGTTTAGGCATTTATAGTGCGATAGTTCTGGGTCCGAGTCCAAGGGTGTGAATTACAGTAATTACGATATAGCGTGATTGCAGCATTGGTTGTTTAGGACCACCAAAGATGTTAATTTAGATCGTATTTGTTTAATGCTGTTACATTTCAGATAAAATAAACATTAAGAAAGGTGTTAATAGAAGAGAGTGCAGAACTGACTATAGGCCTGGAGAGATTTGTTGTCTCCAATTGTAAAGATATAGGTGTATAATGAATAAAAACAGTTTGCAGAGTAGGTGCTCTGAATAGGGTTTATTGTCAAGAGTGGCTTGGGTTCTATGGAGAATTTTTTCTTAAAGGCTTTAATGCAGTCATAGGGTAGAAAAAATGATTTACTTTTTTTTCTTTTAAAAAATGCTATTCATTTTTTTTGTGTGTATTCAAACATTACTGTTTTTGTAAACATACCCCTCATATTTCACTTTCATAATTATCATATTAGTTTCCATGTACTCATTAAACTTCATATGTAGCATCAGGTGTTTCTTTTCAGGAGAAGGAACTGAAGAGCTTTTTGGCATCAAGAGTACCAAGGATAAAGACAAATTTAGAAAGCTGGAGATCAGCATGTAGTGCAAAACATAGCTTTTCTCATAGCCCAGTGGCCCAAACAACAAAGCTTGAAACAACAAAAACTTGAAATCAAGTAGCCAACTAGAGGTTTGTATGGGATGGATGTTTTTAGCAAAAAGCAATGATATACTTTGTACTTTGTACTGCAACTTTCTTGTCCCACTCCTGTTTACAAAAGCCCACAGGTAGAAGTCTACGTGGATTCAGAGTCTATGCAGTCACTCTTCCCAAACATTACACCTTTTTTATCCAATTCCCATCCACACACATTGCTTTACCTAACTTTATTGCATTTGTCGCAGCAGGCAAATTAAAGGTGCTTTCCCTCACTGCCATGTACAATCGCAAAACCTTGAGAATGTAAAATGTCTCTTTCTTTTTTCTTTTCAAATGGAAACCTCTGGAGAGCTACTATCCAGCAGAGTTTAACTCCAACTTTAAACAAGCACACCTGAATTAACTCAGGATTGCTTGAAAATTACAGGCAAGTGTGTCGGTGCAGTTTGAAACAGATCTGCAGGAAAGTACCTCTCCTGGAGAACAGTTGGCAACACACAGTTGTGGTGTTTTGTTCCTGAGCGAATTAGTGTTTTTGAGCAAATCTGTTGAATTATTGACTCAATGACTTACTCATAAAAACAGTCACTTTCATTCTGGAGAAATGAATAATCACCGTTTTGTAACTTGTGTTGGATTTACTGTATTTTGTTTTGTTTACATTCAGAAGTTTAGAGGAAACAATGTTCTGTACAGTGAAAGAATGTGCAATATTTTGATAGCATTTCTTTAGAAGTGTGTTATGCAAAAATAGAGAAGAATAAATGCTATTCTCCATTGTTCATATGAGAATCACAAAGAATTGAATACCATTGCTTTTCCCCTCCAGTGGCCGTATTCACTACACTGCCATGTACGAGATGCTAACCCACATGTCTCCACCTCTTGGATTGGGAAAGAAGTGTCCTGCCAAAATTGCATACAAGGTAGAAAAGTTGTATCTTGCAAATGCATTTCATTGTTTAATAGTGGTATTTGCTGTATGCTACTGAAATACAGAGAAAAAAAATACTTAAACAGTGTTAGTACTAATAACTGTTAAAAAGAGCATTTTAGATCATTAATTTTTGCAACCATGCTGTGCTGCTATTGGCAGAGACTGGTGCTGATGAATATGCCAGTCGATGAGGACATGACGGTTCACTTCACCTCCACACTGCTGTCTCTGATCCGCACTGC